CAGCAGATTTTTTTAAATTTAATTTTTATTATTAAAATCCTGGTTTCTTTGCACCTACCCCATGATTTTGCTTGCTAAGCTGGTGTCAAACTGGTTTGTTTTTAAGTTTTGTTATCACCAGAGGTTTTAGAGGTCATTGTAAATTTATTTTTTTTCGGTTTCTACCCCAACTACCCCAAGTTCTACACACTAAATGTAAAGTACAAAAAAGTAAAATCTTTGAATGTGTTTTTTTTTTTTTCTCTAGGAATTTGATGTTATCTTATGTGCCTTTACTAGTGAGCACAGAATGCTAGTACTGAAATCAACTCAAAACCACATTGAATGAAAATAAGAGAAAGTTTCAGTAATGGTTTTGTTTGCACTGTGGTGATGTGGACATTTATTTATACTCTCTTTCTATCTTAGGAAAACAGCCATTGTAGTGAATCATCAATATCATTTGATTACAGCTGTGCTATTGTTTTGTTGCACTCTTTTGGGATGAAAACTATTGAATTTTCTTGTCTAATTTGTAAATACGAAGAAAAAGTTATTTAATGGAATTCATAATTTAAGTTATAATATGGCACAATGATATTTAATATGAAAGACAATTTAATACCATTTCAAAAGAAAGGTAATACAAGACCAAATGCCACAATGTATCAATATGAACAATTTTTGATGATTATTAAAATGATGTACCATTGCCATGAGAATGACTCTTTATTGAGATTTATTTTACAACTGACACATACAACAGAAGTTGGTGATTCCTTGAGGATGTCTAGTCTCATTTAGTCAATACCTTGACTATTTTTGTTTCATATTCTCTATAAAGGCACATTCAGTTCTGACCTCTAAAAGGTCTGATCTGTAGGAGACATATTAGTGAGGTCTTTGTATTTATTCCAGCATGTCAGTTGATGCTGAGTAAGTTTTGACGGCGTTATCAGATGAAGTTTTCCTGATGACAGATGTTTGGATTGACAACATTTAGGAAACCTGATAGGTGTAGAGTAATCAACCTTCATGTGTTAGGTTATGCTTTGAAATAATCACAAACAAATATAAATGGTACATTTTCTCAGTACCGAAAACCACAATGCGGTGTTTATGCCATTAATCTGTCGAATATACTGCATATTTTGTCTGGATTACTATAAATGCATTGTGTGTGTGTGAAAGAGAGCCTAAACTACCTTGCTATGGAAACATTGAAGCAGGAGATAAGAACATCCTGACTTGTGAAATGGAGCAGTGGGCGTGATTTTGGTTTTCCGCTGAGTTTGACCGTCAGATGAAGAGAATATAAGGTGAGATGTGGTCATTTACACACCACTCCAGTCAGAACATAATTCCTTTGCTCAGGTAAGCACATTATATTATTCTGTTTTCTATTGAATCTCATTTTTGGTTTGCATTGCATGTACCTTTTTGCCCTTAAACTGTTGGTTCAGCCAAAAATGAATATTCTGTCATTATTTACTTACCCTGTTGTTCATCTTTTTGGCATCTAACAAAACATTTCCTGTTTTTTTTTTTTCCATACAATGACAGTAAATGGTGATCACATGTGTTCTTGGTCCTCATCCACTTTCACTGTATATGGAAAAAGAAGCTTAGACATTCTGTTAAATAGCTCTAAGTCATGGATTTGGAGTATGATGGTTATAAGTAAATGGTTCAGAATCTTCATTTCTGAGTGAAATACTTTTATACCCCAAAATGGATATTTGACTACTAAAAAGGACTAACCTGTCAATTACTTTTTTGTTTTCTAGCCACCTAACTATCCCACTCCCGAAGTCATGGAATCTGCCATTAACGTGCTCGTCTCCCAGTTCAAGACTTATGCAGGGAAAGATGGCTCTGCGAACACTCTGAGCAAAGATGAGTTTCAGAGCCTGGTCACTTCCCAGCTCCCAAACTTTGTAAAGGTAAGCCTTTTGAGTTATTACAGTATGGTTTGTCCACTTCATATCTATATTCCACAATTCAGGTCTACATACTTTAAATATAAAGGTCCGTTTAGAACCCATTTAGTTGTTTAGAAAATCATCTGCTTTAAAGAATAAGGAATCTTTAAAAAAAAAAACTAATGTAATGTTAAGAACTTTTTTTTTTTTTTAAATCCCCACAGAACCATAAAACCAACTCAAAATGGTTCTTAATAAGAAGAGGAGTGTCTGCTGACTCTCAGGTGCTGCAAAGAACCTCTATTTTTAGGAGCTTACAGCTACAATAAATGGTTATCTTCTACAGCATGCTAAACTTTATTATAGAATTTACTGTAGAATATTTAAAAAAAAAAAAAAAATTTATCTGTGACCTTTAATCACAATATTTAGAAATTGAAGATCGTTTAAATAAATAAATAATGGTCTTCATTCCAGTGCTTAATTAGTATGTGTTCTGAGAAAAATGAACCAAAATGAATAAGAATGCTGAATTTTACTAAAGAATCGTTTTATAGAATTATTTTACATTTGTTTTACATCTGTGACCTATAATCGCATTATTTAAATAATGAAATTAAAGATCATTTTAATAAATAATAAATAATGGCCTTATTTACAGTGTTTGTTTAGTAGGCTATTCTGTTTTCTGAGAAGAATGAATCCAAAAGGATAAGAGCACCATTTCAGAGGTCTGGTGTGAGTTATTAGTTAACCACATCCCAGTCCTCTAAAGAATTCCTTGTGAGTCACGTGTTTGTGATTTTGTAGAGGAAATTACACAAATCCTTCCTATGCTAAAACTCTCAAGTCAGAGACAGACCTTATACTGTGCTAGCGAGTATGAAAACAAACTGGCTGCTTTCAGCATATTTACATCCAAACCAGATCACTAAAGCTGGATACAATAGAAAAATGCCACATCAGAGCATTTTCTGTTTGGCCCATCCAAAACAGGAACTCCCCCCTAAACTAATAGGTCAGCAGAAAAGAATGCGCAGTACCACTGACAACCACTAGATGGAGACGCTATCATGGCAAGTGCGTATAAATGCCTGTCCATCTTGTCCTCTCCCACAGAATGCCTCTGACCCAGCCACCATTGATCAGCTCATGAAGTCATTGGACGAGAATAACGACGGAGAGCTGACGTTCCTGGAGTTCTGGCAGCTGATTGGCAGTGTGGCGAGCCAACATGGCGGCTTTAGCCAATAAAGAAACCTGAAGTATTAGTCAACTTGAAGAAAATCACTTTAATTTTACCTTGTGACTTTCTTATGTAATTATAACATTGTGCAGTTAATGATTGTCCAAAGCAGGGCAAATAAAAGAAAGAGTTGTTTTATTCTCTAGGTAATCTTGCCTTGCCTCTTTATTGAGCATGTCGTATAAGAGTCTCTGCACACTCTCCCCACTCCTGCACACTCTCCCCAATCTCTCCCATTCTTTTGTGTAGACAAAATAACGCATCTGATTTAATAGCATCATTTTATGGTAACCCAACACCACCTTGAGGCCATAGACTATCCGATTGCACAGCGGCTTAGTTTTAGACATTAACAATTTCAGCTCCAGACAGCAGTCAGTTACGAGACATCCTTATTGACATATTCAATCTCCCACACAATATGAAGTAGGTGCCACCAGTTGCCTTGCTTACAGGTGTGGCTTGGGGGAAGGGAGTTGGTCTCTTTTGGATAATAAGGGAGATTTAGATCTTATTTGCAAGTGCAAATATATGAAACTGAACACAAAAATTCAGAAGAATTTTGAATTGCCTGAAGAACATTGGTTATCGATGTTCAATCACCTGAAAAGATGCATTGAGATTTTCATTTTAAACCCATCATACTGGTTTGATGAGGTGGCAGCGGGTCTGAGAGTTTCAACCTTGCTGAACCGGTCACAGTTCCTGTGGGGTGCCTACAAAAACATTTTTAACAAAAATATATTTAAGGTTTTAAGAAAATATATTAATATTTTTTTATAAATATTTAAGAAAAATATATTGAAGACAAGTCATAGGTGAACTTTGAAGCATTATCAGAGCTGTGAGGCATGACCATAGTCCACACAAAGTGATGCCAGTCAATACAAATAACTTAACATAGGCGGTGCCTCTTGTAAACACAGATAATCATAGTAAAGAGGGCACTGGGATATGATTCATTAGCCTATATGTCTCCCCTGGGGCCCGTTAAAGGCTGTCTGAATATTTATCGCAATACAATGCCTTCCTGTTAGCAAGAATTCTGACTAAAATTAATTCCTGGGGCATTAAAAATATTAATAAATGAAGCACTGTCTCAATATTGCATGTTTAGTGCATACCAGTGTCAGAATTTGACTTTTTCAATTTATGAGGGGCTATTATTTGCCTCCCGGAATTCATTTTCAGACTTATTTTCTAACCATACATAAACATGTAAAGTGTCATTTTTATGACACACACTTTAATTGATTAATAAAAATTCAAAAGCAATATCAATACACAACCAGTGTAGTTTTAGAAAACTAAAGAAATAATTGGTCGCCTCTATCTCTTTCCCATTATGGAAGATTGTATCCAGCTAACCTCCCTCTATCTCTCTCTCTCTCTCTCTGTGTGGGGGTTAATTTATTTTATTTTTTAGCTACCAGCTAGAAACCACCTACTATGTTTCAGAGGCACTAATATATCACTTTATACGACTGTAATGCTTTAAAATATATACAATATTTTAACCGGTAAAACAATTTTGCCCAAGGCATGGTTAATTTCTGACACTCGTGCAAACATTGTGCAGGTAAGGGTTAAAGTTTTCGTACTTCCCACTAAAGCCCCAGACAAAACTCACCGTCCACTGCCATGATTCCCAGTGGGATTTCTGTCGTGAAACTACCAGAAGTCATACTGTTGTTTTTACAGCAGTAGAAAACATTAGAAATGTCTTATTTTTAATCATGCCAAAACTCAAATGTCTTGTTTAAAGTAGCCAAATAAGTTCGTCCCCTAGTTCCCCTCCTCCAGGTACACGCCCTTTCATTTGTCAGAGTCGGGCAAAAAAAAAAAAACGTTAACGAAAAAAAAATCACGGAAGCGGTTCGAGTCTGACAAGTTTTTTTCTTTTGAGGTAGGAAAGAAAAGGGACAGGGAAAAAAAGAGGTTTAACTGCAGCTACTGCGAACTGTCAATCCGTGCTGTCCGCATTTTAGGGTAAGTGCTCTAAAATACGTTTCGTTCACCTTGTAGGCCTATTTAAACACAAAACTTTGTAGTTTTGAACATGTAACGTTAAGAGTTTTCGTTGAGTGTCAACGCCACGTTTTAGGAACACCCTTCGACCATCCTCAGCCAGATGAATCTGAAAACATCTCTCGTTTTCGCACAGTTAATACGTCTTTTTTATGAGTATTCCGAACTATATACAGGTAAATATAACGTTACTAATGTGGTTTGACGCGTTGTTAATGGCGACGTTTGATTAAGAGTGCAAGCGGGAACAATTACAATGTCGTTGATGGAAAACTTATGTGGGTGCTTCTGTTGAATAGCATTGGCATTTTAAACTTATCTCAAATTGAATATGATCTTTTAAACTTCACAATGATTATTGTGAAGTTTACGTTTTTTAAATGTATATTAAATTGAATATAATCTTTTAAGATTACTGTGTTGACGTTATTTTAAATATTTAAAAAAATTAAAATATAAAAACAAATAGGCTATAAATAAAAAAAATCATACATATTAGGATACAAATGCTAAATGTTTATTATTATTATTATTTTATATTCATAATATAATTGTAGTAAAATTAAGTGTAGATGCTTGTAGATTATGACATTTTGAGTCGCGCCAACAGCAAATCAAGTCCAAGTCAGTACACTTGCCAGAAAAGAGAGGCGTTTAACAAAAAGGGTGTTTTATCCAAGCGTGATTTCAGGGTGAAGAAAACAAGAACTACTTCGTGATTGTTCCCCACGAGTTTTTATGCACTGGCAAAGTTGTTCCTGTGTGAATTTTTAATGGCGCACGCGAGCGGCGGGTATTGTCTTTACTGCGATAGAGCGCGCGCGTATCACGTTCGCCAGTTTGGAAACGCAAACCTTTCCATCTCTTTTGCGCATTGGAGAGAAACGGTAGAGTGCACGCTGTTAAACTCCATATGTCTGTGTCCCCTTTTCTTTTTTTTGAGTTTGTTTGCATGGATTTATTTATTCATTTCGCCCAGGAACAGCACAAGGTCATGTCTGTTTTGGAGAGTCATTGAGGTAATGAAAGATCCCTCTTCATTACTTATTATTAACCCATCCACGTGCTGTCTGTCTGAGGGAGTTTTGGGTTAAAGCTCGAGACCGTCTAGGGTAGCAAGCCCTACATAATTCATATGACTTCAGGACTGGCACTGGATAGGGTTGAGACCCAGGGTTGAAAGGGTCAACCGGATCAATGAACGGTGCCTATAGTCACTAGAAATATGATTGTGGAGACAAGGTGTGTAAGACTTGTGACAACAGCACAGCATTGACTTCAATAGAGCAGCGGCCCTTTGATCTAGGGCGCATGTAGACATAGTTTGTACTGTGGATAAGGGCTGACTGTATCTGGACTGTACAGTAGGGGCTGTGTCTCAAACCTATACCTATTGTGCCGCCTACCTAGATGTTCCCTTTCAGTTAGGATGTTACTTTCTGTGAACACAGGTGCTGGTGCAGTAAACTTTTGCATCGCTGCAAAAACCCCCTTCATTTCTGATGCCCAAAAATGAAGTCTAGAAAGGCAGTCTGCTAGATTTTGAGACATAGTCATTGTTTTACCCGAATGAAGATGGTGTGCGAGTATGTAGCGTTCATATTCGGCAGCCTATAGGAAGCATAATATAGCTTATTTCTGCATTGTGACAACATTAGCTGGGTGTCTGCATGCCAAGGAAGTAGAAAACTATTTCCTGCACCATTCCACTGACGGTATATAGTGTAAAAGACTCCTTCTCACTTTCAAACACCCTATGAAACCAGAAACTTTAATATGCGTACTGCGTCATCTCTGTATCTCCTTCTCGCTCTCATTAAATTAGGCTAATGGTCATGTTTCTTAATTGCTTACTACCTGTCAATGTGGTTATTACTGCTGATAAGAGGAAACTCTGTGTATTTACGTCAGCTAATTTGGCGGCATCAGAAACAGTCTCGGATGACAAACACACCTACACAGATTTTGACCAGCAATAACAGCTCAACGGGCTTTTTTGCTGACCGCTGGATGTCACTGTTTTTTGTACGTCTTTGTTTGTACAGCTATGCAAATTATAAGGTTCCAGTCCTCATCTAACAAGCAAGCCGTAACTTTCTGGTTAAGTTTGAATGACTTGCGTAAAGAGCATTGATTGGAATTCAAAGGATGACACCCTCAGAGTTGTGTCACTCTGACACACTCGGGTCTGTTGTTCAAGATTTTATCAATGAAATGTACCTTTTGCTGAATGCACACTAGAAAACACTGGTTCCTTGAATCCATTCTGCTGTTATATAACCGGATCATTTTATATGTTTGACTTTTTTTTTTTAGGTAGTAAATACCTACCTACTTTTTATAGTATTTATTAATATTTAGAATTAGCTTTTATTTTTTATATTTTCAGTTTTAATAAACATTTTGTAGTTTTATTTATAGAAATATTTTAATTTGACTTAAACTTATTTATTTTAGTTAGTTGCCAAGGCAACATTTATGATTTTTCAGCAAATATTTATTAATGTAGTATTTAGAATGATATTTAATTAGGTTTCATTTTTATATTTTCATTTTCAGTGTAATTGTATTTGAAGTTTTAGTATCAATCATTTTTAAAATTTTTATATGGCTGTAATTTAATTTCAGTTTTAGTCATTTTACTACCTTAACCTAAGCTTATTTATTTAATTTAGTTGCTAAGGCAACAATTCTAATTCTTCAGTTTTTAAAGTTTTTTTTTATATCAAATATTTATTAATATAGTATTTATTAATGATTGTAATTAGCTTTTTTTAAATATTTATTTTTATATTTACTGTTTTCATTTCAATTTTCTTTAAAGTTTTAAAAAAATACATTTCTATATTGTTTTTTAGTAATATTACTGCTTATATTTATTTCAGTTAGTTGTCAATAAATTTTTTTTAAATTTTTTTAAATGTTTATCAAAATATTTATATTTTATTATATTTCAGCTTCATTTGAAAAATAGATTTTTAATAGTTTTAGTTATCAATAAAAACACTGCTACTGATGTCTTATTGTTGCCGCTGTGTTTTCGGAAATTATCCTTTTTTTTTTTTCAAAATCTAATCGCCGCATCTTCATGCCGAACATAGCTGAGTGATGACCTTTCGCACCTCATCAAAAAATCTGAGTAATGCCATTCATTAATGAGGCACGGCGATTGGCTATTGGCATTTCCTTCGAAACTTTGGCCAATCAGTAAAAATTTGTAGTGGAATGCAAGAGAGAGTGAACGTGTGCCTGCATTGGTGAAATTTTATACGTGACAAAGGAGAAGCAATGCTGGTCAAGAAAGAAAGGGGAAAGCAGGACTGAATTCTTTACATTGAAAGAGGTGTGAAGAGCAAGAGGGACAAACTACAGAACTAAAAAAAGAGTGAGTGAGGAAAGAAGGGATGTTTGAGCTGTTGGTAATCCCTTGAGAAACATGAAGCCGCTGTGTGGTTTGGTCATCAGTAGATCAGATGACCTATCAAAGATCAGGACAGCCACTGGCGACTTGCCTCTTTCTTCTCTCTTCCCTTATCTGCAATTGACTGTCAGTTCTAACCCCCAAGATTTCCATTCTCCACACCCTAGTAGACTTTCAGGTACTGTACACTTAGTAAATGGACTCAGTAGAGTGTTGGGCCTACCCTTTATGAGGAAATGTCACCAAGCCTCTAATGATCCCACTTCAACTTAGGGTTAGGGTTTGTTTAAAGTATTAAACTTAAATCAGACTTTTGATTTTCGCCTGGCAAATGAAAAACCAAATGAAAGGGATTTATTTATTCATGCATTTATTTATGCATTGATTGACTGATTGTCATTTAGATTACACTGTAAAAAAAATTCTGTAAATTTACGGTAAAAAAAGCGGCAGTTGTGATTGCCAGAATTTTACCATAAAAAATACGGTAGCAACATTTGAGGTTTTACGGTTTTAACTTAAATTTACATTTAAATACCATAATTTCATTAACTGATATAATGTTAATATACCAATCTATTGAAGTAATGAAATCTGTTTTGTACCTTTGTAATACACTGATAACCACCAAATGCAGGTGGTGATGAGGAAGTCACATGATGAACCAAAGCCCATCACAAGTAGCTTTTAAATAATAACATACATAGAAGGTGCACAGTGTCATTCACACAAACACCAAACACCATCACGGTAACACACATGAAACTGAAATAATGCAATAAACATTAATTTAACAACATTAGATGTAACATACAACCCTACAAAAGTGATAAGAAAAAACTATGAAGAAACATAGTTATTTCAACAAAAAAAACATCAAATTTGAAATGTAATGCAGGGAACTGGGAATCTCAGTTTACGGTTATTCACTGCAAATTATACGTTCTTTTTCACTTCCAAAAACTGTATACTACCGTAAAATTAGCTACATGTAATATCCAATACAGTTTTCATCATATATAGTGGGGGAACTTACCGTTAACCATTTAACGGGTTTTTAACCGTAGCATTTTTAGTCTTTTACTGTTAAATTCACGGTCATTTTTTTTACAATGAACTATTATCAAAGCTCATTTACCTTTACTCTATAAAAACAAATATTTTAAGAACTGTAATTGTACACTACCATTTAAAAGTTCTGGGTCAGTAAGATTTTATTTTTAAAAGAAATGCATACTTTCATTCAGCAATGAATAAAAGTATTAGCCAAGGACATTTATAATGTTTCGTGAGCACCAAACCAGCATATTATTATGATTTATAAATGATCGTGTGACACTGAAGACTGGAGTAATGACTGCTAAAAAAATAAGCCTTGCCATCACAAGAATAAATTAATTTTAAAATATAGTAAAATAAATAAATATATTTTGAATTCTAATTATATTTGCAGTATTTTGATAAAATAACTGCTGCCTTGGTGAGCATAAGAGATTTCTTTCAAAAACAATAAAAATCCTACTGACATAACATTTTGAACACTAGTGTAAATTTGAGAAAATATAATATTTCCCATTTTCCATGATGTGCATTATAATGTTGTGATGCCTTCATTTACTTGTAGCCTTTAAAATGATTGTTAGTTTTTAGTGTTTTATCTATAATTTATTTCAACAAAATTTTAATATTGGTCATTTATCATCCATCAGCTGTAATTTTAATATCCGTGCAACCCAAATGTCAGTTGTATAGCAAATGTTTCTCTTTTTTCATCTTCTTGTAGAGCGAAAGCAAAGATGGAGGCAGCAATTAAAACCGTGGTGAGTGTGTTCCTGAAGTCATCCAAGGGCAAGGAAAACCTCGGAGGGAAGGAGTTCCAGAGCCTCGTGAAGGGCCAGCTAAAAAACATTCTGACGGTTAGAAGCTGCGTTTTGTTAAATCTAGCAACACTTTGTTTGGTATTCATTCATCATTCAGTTACCATATTCGTCAAAGATCTTTCAGTACACTCGTTTTTTCCATGGCTACAGGTTGGCCCTGGTCTATTTCTTTTTCGAGTAGTTCCTTATTATCTGGACTTTGATGAGCTGAGCAGAAACCACAAACTTGTGTCCAAATAGTCATTTAGCATGAAGAATGCTGCTGTGTTATTTGCTCCGGTGCCACATTAAATTACAGAGGAAAACTTTTAGTGTTGCTCATTCATCTCACACTGTTTGGGCTGCTGACATGAATGATAACTCAAATCGTGCAGTTTCTTGTGGAGAAGTGCGTTATTAATGTTCAAAACAATAATTTTGCCTGGCAGACCATAACCGGGTCTGTAAACTTGCTATAGATTTACATATTTAAACAGCTGAATCATAGCGGACAACATGGTAAAAACCACGTAAAAACACCTCGACATTGTGATGGCAGGTTATTCATGAGCAAAAACCACTTACCGGTACTTTCATTTCAGGAAGTTGTATTAGAATCTAGTTTATATTGGACATTGTATCACCATGAGCGGTTTATTCCATTTCAGTGTGAAATGACAATCAATACAAGCCTCAAACTTGTTTCATTAGAGATTAACATGTGAGGAACTTTGTGTTTAGGGCTCAGAGGACAATGAGGCAGTAAAAAACATGCGTCAACAGCTTGACAACAACCAGGATGGGAAGGTCAGCTTCCAGGAGTATATGAATCTGATTGGCTTTCTGGCACAGGCTGTCAGCGAACAGCGTTCTTTGGAAAAAGAAACACAACCAGAGAGTTCAACCCAGGAGACGCAGGCTGAGCCGGCAGCCAATGCACAGGCAGAGCCGCCGAAGGCAGAGCCACAGGCGGCAAAGGAGGTGGAGAAAGAAGACGAGCCAGTGACCGAGGAGGCAGCGGCCGAAGAGCAGAAGCCAGAGGAAGAGAAAAAAACAGATGTGGAACAGGAAGGGGCGAAAGTTGAAGAGAATAAAGCTGAAGAGAAGAATAAAACAGAGGAAGCATCGTAGGAGCTCGAGGAAGTGGAGATTGTCGCATCTCAAATGCTTCTGTGTTTGTTTTGTTCATCATTTTCATTATTGTGATATTTTAATACATATATATGAAACCTGGCCAATACACTACAATTTTTTTTTACTGCAAAGAGCCATAACCCTCTCATTACAGTTTTCTTTTTTACAATGGCTAGGACACATTTCTCAATACTTTTCAAAACTCTTCACACTGTTCTCCTTACCAGCTTTCAGCTTGGCACCTCCAAAATGCACTAAAAACACCAAAACACTTAATATAATTACACCAGTTAAGGTTGTCGCCCAACAAACACCCTTTAGGGCTTTTCACACTTGAAATAGTTAACCCTGAATCATTCTGTAAGCGTTCTTATTTGCGGTGTCATTGAATGAATGAATGAACACAGAACGCGACCTGTTTACACAACGGCTCTAGCATTAGGCATCCTCGTATTTGCAGACTACATTTTCTGAATGGACTTTTCAGTGGACTATAAAAGTAAAAATAAAACAGTCTCTTCTTCACTCCAATTTACGGGTTTTCCGTCACCATTTGACAATTTCCCCCTCAAACGTTGAAACGACATGTAACGCACGTCGTTTCCAAAGCACAAGAATACGAGGCACTACGCGATCGCTAACACAGTTTCGTTTCACACGGTACACGTTTGCCACATAGTGCTAGCGGTTTATAACACCAGGTTAAAAGTAGCGCAAACCCTCATATATTACAAGTGTGAAATGTACCATTACCCAGGGGTAAAAACGCGATTTAAAACGACGTTAACCCGAGGTTAATCGCAGTGTGAAAAGCCCTTTTGTCACTCATAAAATAACGACCTAGAAACCAACACCAACAAGAGATGTAGCATTTTTTCTGTTTTCCTATGTAAAATTACTTTACAAACAAGAATGACACCTTTTTACTGTTTAGAATTCACTGCAGTAGGCTATTACATGGTCCATGTTAACATTACAATATAAAATTACAAGTTTTGTAGATGAATAAAATTAAAGACTAACACCTGTTTAGGTGTTTAGCTAGGCTACCTTATTGTTTTGATAGTATCTAATATATTTAGAATATATTTAAATATAATATTACTGTAGAAGTGTAGCAAATTGCTGTCTTTCTGTTTTGTATTATGTCAAGTTTTGAACTCAAGTTCAAAAGTTTTGAAAAAAAGTATGTAAATGTGCAAATTGACCTTTAGGTACATTTAATTTTGGTGGTGGTTGTGTTTGCGTGAGAAAATAGTTAATGTAATATGAGATATGTTTAGTCATTAAATGCATTTTGTGCCAAAGCAATGGAAAATGATCTGCAGTTTAGTCCACATAGACTGCTGTCATTTACAATGTGAAGAAAAAGTGACCTACTGAGAAATGGGTCCTAGCAATTGTAAAAAAACTGTAATACTAATTTCTGTTTGTATGCACATCAATTCATGCCTGTGATTTATTATGTACTAATAGTGTATAGAAATTGGCAATAGCCGCAAATGTGACAAATGGCCAAAGAGGTGCAATAACTAATCACTATGTCCTTTTGTTTGAGCCAGATTTGTTGTAAGGGTACTGCAACCACTGTGTCCCCTCCAATATCTCTACAAATCATCCATGAATGAAGAACAGACACCGTTTTTTTATAGCATAAATGTTGAAAAAGACATCATTTTTAAGTGTCCATTATGTTTACTTTTTGTTTGTGCCACCTTCTAAGGACAGGGTTACTTAGTAGACTCTGGTGCTAGTCGTAAATGTACTATGTATTTTCCAGTGTTGCAGAAGCATAAAAAGAGCAAAATTTTCACCTCTCTTTTGTTTGATGAAATGCCAATCTGCAGGAAATTAACATACTGCATCACCATTTAAATGTGGGACTTGCATTTGTGGCGCACATGGGAACACTATGCAGTCCACATACTTTGTTGTTCACATTTCTGGGCCTTGTTTGCATGAGAATAAACAAATTTGCTTTTGAATAATGCAGTTTTATGGCATGCTTTCTGGCTTGTGTACTTGGATCTAACTCTCTCCGACACCCTCCATTAGCTGGTCTTTCTTTTAGACTTTCACATGCTGTCCATCTTAGTGCTTTGTCTCAAGAGCTGGAATATCAGATGCTTAGCGTGCTTATGATAGCTGACGCTCAATAATTAAATGCCTTTGGGACGGAATCCACACCAGGGAACCCTTGTGGCCCCGCAGGAGCCCCAAGTCATCCCAAAGTATCAGTTCACTATAAGGCAGTTAGGCCCCAAAGACCTTTACATTCACATAGGCATTCATTCCCTTAAACTTAACTATATTTGCCTGCATATATTTAGGTGTATTTTGTTTGTTCTTTTTGTAATGTTTGGATCTCGTAAGTGTGTGGAGTGTTTTAATAGCTTTGTTAAATTTTAAGTCTCTTAAAGACCATATTTACAACAGGACTGACCGGTTTCACTTATATCTTGTTCTTTTAAACACATTTGGTCACAACTAGTGCATGTTAGCATTTCTTTAATGCATGGATGGATGGATGGATGGATGGATAGATTTGAATGCATTCTGATTCAAACTAGCTGGAAATATATTACTAACATCAATATAATATTCCATCATGTATTGACTGTTGCATATGATTTGTGCTAGAAAACCCTGTAACAAAAGTCTGTTGAGTAACCTTACCTTAATGTTCTTGAATTTTTTACTAATTATCAATGATTCAATGAATTTTGATATAGCAGCTACGGTAAATATGTAACTTGTTCTTGTTTGTCATGAAATGTCTATGAAAGCCATAACACACAAGAAGAAGAGACAAATGCACAGGTACTTTCACCATTAAGCCATTATCTAGCAGCTTACATAATACATTATACATGCTACATTATGCATTATACAGATATATATTGCCTACATCAGTGTGAAATCCTACGCTGCCTAAAAAGCGCTCATTTAGATCATGCTAATGAGCTCTCGTTTAGCTCATGCTGTCATGTATATCCTGGCCATCTAAAACCTCTGTTTACTTTGGTGTGTCTGACTCCACAAGAGCCGTGTCTGGTGTTACTAGACCCCACTATATTAGCATTATAGCATCATCAAACATCATGACGTTTGGCTAACATTCTTTGACCACATGTTGTTTGTATACTGTTGTTTTGATATATATTCGACAAGCATTGACTTTCAAACTTGATGTTAATTAAGTTTTGTCAGTCAAAAATGGAAGTAGTTAGCAGCTCTACCTTGGGAGGTGATTGCTAGGCCTCACTACATTAGCATTATAGTGTCATCACATCTTATTAAGTTTGGCTAACATTCATGTTTTGAGTTGACCACATGTGGAAAATGGTATTGATGTCTATTAGAAAAGCCACTAGCATGAACATGTTGCTGTTGACTTGATGCTTGATGTTAAGCCAAAAAGCAGTAGTTAACAGCTCTTCTTAGGTAACATAAAACCTCTTCTGTCTTTTAAACGAATGCACGAGCATTTCATTAAGTGCACATAGCTCAATGTAACCAACTGACCACATACACAGCCTTCATTTTCTATGCTGTACGATTGACCATCTCCATCTACTCAACAATAAAGGACTGTAATGCAAACTCCACTGGCCTGTAGAGTCTTCTTGTGTAGAGTCAACTGGCATGACGGGGTCAAATGGCCCTTATATTGGCAGGTGAACTAAAGGAGGAGAGTACGGGAGGGGTGCCGAAACTGAAGATGCGGGAGATGCTCTTGAGAAAGGAGGGGGCCGGGTGAGTGATATTTAAACCCCAGAGGTTCTCTCTCTCTCCTCATCTGTTCCTCAGCTCTCCGGCTGTCTATCACTATCTCCTGTGCTTCATTACAGACAAAGGAAGCTCTCCGTAGGCATTCAGGTAAGACAGACAACTCAGACGAGAGAAAGGACTCCTTTCTCTCCAAGCAGAAAGCTAATGAATGCTCTTCTGGATTGGATTATCTACTGATAACTTTTTTGGTAGTCTTTATTCGAATATCTGTCCATAGGTCAGTGCTACCATTACTTTTGTGTGAAGTTCTCATGGGATATGGATATAACCTATATGAATGTGTATAGCCTTCAAAGTTAAATTAAGTCAAATTGAAACATATGTATATTATTTATATTTCACACAGACTTTTAAACCTTCACATATACATATAGGGTGAATTAAGATAAATTGGGACAGGTTTTGCCATTGTGATAATATACATATACACACAAACACACACACACACACACATATATATATATATATATATATTACTAGGAGTAGTCTTGGACTAGGACCAAGCTGAATACAGGTAAAGTGAAAAAACTTTTATTTTAAAATATAGCCATATAAAAATACAATCCAAATGGTTTAGAATATAATTTAGATATCATTTGAATAAACATCTCTGAACATCTCTACTACTCTATACAGAAAATTCAAGCACTGAAGTGTCCAACTTTACCTGTATTCACCGAACTACACGCCTGTCCTGAATATATGGTTTTGTCTTTGATTTTCATTAATGTAAATGTATTTTTTGGGTCTGTATTATTGAATGAGTTCGATTTAGATTTGAAAGAGTTTGTTTTTATGTAAATAAATTAATCTCTTCTTCTTTACATGTCAAAGAACGGTCAGTTTCCTTAGTGTCACTGGGTCACTTGGTGTTACATTTCCATTCTCATCTTAGTTGCCATCGCGTCACAGTGTCCATTCTATACCGTTCCGATACTGCTAATGAGATTGTGCTTCTGTTTTCTTATGCCCTACAAGAAATGTGCCATAATTTCACCTTTCATCTTAATTTTTCAAATTGTCTTGCATTTAAATAGTTTATTGCTGTTCTTCCTTATTGCTGCTTTGTCCTAAAATGCTTCCAGTTGAACTTTTTTAATGCCTTTGTGGGACATTAAACCATTCTGACCTTTCTAGTTAGTGTCCATTTCATGAACAATGGTTTTTGGTTTTAGTACCTGAGAGCTGTAATTCACCGTTTTTTTGTTCCAAATCCGCATGTCACCATTTGAGCTTCCTAATTAGGCACTCTCTTAGGTTAACTAATTAGTTAAATTAGATGGTGTAGTACTTCAAATAAAGAGCTGAGCACGGAGGCCTCATTAGAGTAATCCTGTCCAAAGTTGCAATTCAATTATGTTGCTAATTATAGTACAGAAAAGTAGGGAAAAGGGCAACAAACATGAATTGTACTATTTAATTGATCTTATTTCATTACTTTTAAATTTATAATCGATTAAAGGAGTATTTCCCGTAATTGATTAATACTGTCTTATCCTCCAGCTGTTTTTCTTTTTGCTTCATTTTGCAATATTCATGATTATACAGTCTACAGGACTCTAAACTTTGGCCTCTATCCTCAAAATTAACTAATGGAGTTGCTTTAGGATAATTTCAGGTGTGTATTGTGTGTGTGTGTCTTCATGAGAGCCTCGGATTACTTGGACGAAGGTTCCCTTGGGAACTTGCCCATAGTTTTATCTGCATTTTGACAGTTTTATGTTTCACTTGCGGTTTCCATTTGAGAGACGCGGCCCCTGTTACATGAGCAACAGATGATTTAGATGTGAGCAGAGAAGCGTTCACATACAACTAATGAGCGTTCGAAGAAAACACAGAGTTGTGTAACGCTAACAGTTTATATAATCACACATTGGGTGAGAATGACAGTTTATAATTCCATCTAAATGTCTCTCATAAAGTGCCAAACCTGCTGTATCACAATACTTATTGGTTTAACGTTACCTCTTTGTGTAACTTTTGAACTATGTTAAGTTGGTTAAGTCATAAAAACACTGAGGCAAATCATTCAGCCTTCCATCAATGCTTCTTTTCATGGCCAAATTCTGTTCATGCTCCAGTCTTTCTCATCTTCTGTTGTGCCTCATCAATGACTGTGTCTGTTTCTACATGCGCAGTAGCTCGCTGAACCCGGAGAGAGAAGATCCAAGATGCCACGCTCAAAGTGTGACATGTAAGAATGTTGCTTTTTGAGTGACAAACCCCTAATCAGAATTTTCCTCTAAATCAAATAAACCCCTCAAATAGTAAGGATATTATCTCAAACAAATGCTTGAGAGAACATTTCACATTTTGTTTTCACCCATAGTCCAAAACATGTGTTTTGTGCCAGAATTAATTGAGCCAAAGCTCCGCCCATGCTAGTCATGTGACCATACATGCAGCAGGGTCTAGCGAGGGGCGCGCCATGTTGTTGTATCTAACCTTTGACCTTTTTAACCACCTTACAGCATGTCCAAAGAGCCAAGCTCCAACTTGGAAAGCGCCATGCAGATGCTCATCAAGACCTTTCATAAGTATTCCGGGAAGGAAGGAGATAAATACACGCTCAGCCGAGGAGAACTAAGGGAACTTCTGACGGAGGAGCTGGGAAATTATCTTGGGGTGAGAAGAAAGCATATGCAAAATGACAAAATTTTTGCAACCTCTTTTGGTTTCACAAAGAAGATATTAAATTAAAAAAGAGGGTGGGGCTTGATCCTATTCATCGGGAGTTGATTGGACAATGCGAAGTTTGGAAGGGAGGGATTAAAAAAAATAAGGATTTGTAATGTCAGCCAAAAATTATAAAGACAAACATGTTTTATTTGGATTAATAAGCACATTGTAAACAATAAGACCAGGAACATGCATTAAGAAAGTAAATAGTAAATAAATAAATAAAAATGACTTGATAAAATCAATTATGTAAATTTAATAATGGATTTATTAAATAATTTTTTCATAAATTTAATAATTTTTTTTTCACATTCCCTCCCACATTTTGTTAAAATCTTTCCACATAAATTCCTCTGAACTTCTGCAAAAAAAAGATTTAAATACATGCTATCTGTCATACATACATTTCAGCAAAAACAAATATGACACAACCTGTAACGCAAGCTCAGATTTGCATGTTCTGTAAGCTACAGAAATGCTCATTTGATAAGGGTTTACAGATTCAGTGACCCTGTAATTATGTCTCATGCAAATATCTTTTATGTGGATCCAGCCTCTGGCTTTTTCTTCTGACATGAACACACACATTCCCTTTCATTAACATTCCCAGCGTTCTTCAAGCTACACACTTTTCAAAATGACATATTGACTTTACTTTTATGCATACATTCTTAAAAATAAAGGTTCCAAAAGAGGGGTTTCACAGCAATGCCATGGAAGAACCTTTTTGGGTTCCTCAAAGAACTTTTTTTCTTAGTGTGAAGGATATTTTAATGATCTTTTCCACTATGAACCGTACGCTTTTAAAAATTAAGGTTCCAAAAGGAGGTTTTTACCAAAATGCCATAGAAGAACCATTTTTGATTTCCCAAAGAACCTTTCAGCGAACAGTTCTTAAAAGAACCATCTGAAGAACATTTAAAAAATCTAAAGAACCTTTGGTGGAATGGAAAGGTTCCATGGATGTTAAAGATTCTTCATGGAACCATAGATACCATACCAATAAAGAATAGGGATGTAACGATTCACTCAACTCACGATTCGATTCGATTCACGATTATTATTTTTTAACAAAATGAGATTTAAGACAAATTATAAATTAAATGTGTCCTTTTATTATTGCTTGGACAAAATGCTGAAATATTTGAAAATATTTCAAAAATTGAAATATAACACTATAATAATATACTAATATAGCACTTGTAAATTATTGCTCTTTTGTTGGTTTTGATTGCTTCTATTGTCCTCATTTGTTAGTGTTTTTGGACAAAAGCATCTGCAAAATGACAAAATTTAAATATAATGTTAATGTAAATAACAAAACTACATTGAAATTTTAAAACAAGCCCCAAATCAAATAAATAAGTAACACAAATAAAATAAATCTCTTCAACAAACTAAGGCTTTGTCTGTGCTCTTTCCATTTAAAATTAGAGGCAACCACTGCATTTTATGATGATTCATTATCATGATCCAAACAAAGATGCTGCATACATGCAACATGAGCAGTTTTTAATCTAAATTAAATTGTATAATTTCGAAATTTGAAGCAAAAACAGAATTGTTTGACTTCAGTTTTGTGAAACTATACATAAAAAATATCTGCATGAAACAGAAACAGCAGACGAGCTGAACGAGACGCAGATTCACTCTCTGCCAGCAGGTGGCGCTTAAAGCGTTTCCTTGGTTTCCGCTCTAAACAAAGCAGCGTATGAACTTTAAATATGTATTATAGAGAGGCAAGATGAAAAGAATAGATTCCATCTAAACTTTTCTAAAGACAGTAAGTTCCCCTCAGACATACATTCATATAAACTCCTAAACCTACATGAATCGCGATTTGTTTAGCATCTCAACCGATTTGAATCGTCACATATTTGAATCGATTTTCATCCGGCTCGCGGTTAATCGTTACAGCCCTAATAAAGAACCTTTATTTTTAAGACTGTAAAGAACCATTTTCCTCTGTGAAGAATCTTTAGTGCAGTAGAAAGGTTCCATGGATGTTTAAGGTTCTTCATGGAGTGTAAGTGTATTTTATTACATATTGATACACAGTTTTAACTCCCATCTTTTCATTTTTGTCTTCACGCAGAGCGCTCAAGATAAAGACGCGGTGGAACGAGTGATGAACGACCTGGATGCCAATAATGACGGCGAGGTGGACTTCACCGAGTTCATCATCCTCATGGGTGCGCTGACCGTGGCCTGCAACGATTTCTTCCTGGACAGCCCGGCACCCAAAAAGCCCGAGAGCAAGGGCGATGCAGCCACAACAGAGGAAAAGAAAGAGTAATGAGCGCATGCTACCAGAACAGAGAGAGAAAACGGAGCAAAGTATTAGTAGGTTGCATGGTTGAGAACAAGAGAGTGTGTTTCATCCATTTCTTTTAGCAGGACCGACAAACCTAGTTCCTGGAGGACTTTTCTCTGCTTTTATAATTCAACCGAAGCTGTTAATATGCTTGACTGACAAACCCTGAAGGCAAAGACTTGGGGGTTTGACAGAAACACTCATCAGTTCAGTGCCAGGAGCCGGTTTGTCTAACGCTGAACTATTTTTTTTTTCTAGTTAATGGGAAGTTCTTGAGTAAAGTCTTTCAGGATCTGTTTCATATGAGCGCAGACATTATATACAGCTATATATAGTGTTTTTGGATGAAGATATAGCAGCAAAGTGTATTTTGAGTGCAATAAGTGGCTACTAAATGAATGTCAAAGCCTGTATTGATAGAAAGTGGTGAGTTATAGACAGTTATGAATGCTCATTGTTAATCATTCTGAACTGTGACTTGAAAACAGATGTTGAGGTATTTATATTTATATCTTTCATGATGATGTAATTATAAATACCCTTTATTGTTGACAGCAGACAACATTACGTCTACTTCATGGTTACCATAAATTCTGAACAGCTTTCATAATCTATAATAATTCAGTGTTGAAGATGTGAACTTGGTTTGTCTCTTTCTGTGCATCTATTTTTTTGCCTATTTTTATTTAATAATCAATATGTATCTTCTTAATTATAATAAACTTGCAACTGACCTCCATACGTTGTCTGACATTTTTTTGTAATTCTACATGCAATTTGTTTTTTATCATACTAAACATTTATCATGTTTAAAAATGGTTTTCTGTTATGATTAGTTGTCTCTCTGATTAGTATAAAAAGTTTAGTTTACTACACCAAGGATTGTTTTTTTTTTTTTTTTTAGATTTTTAGATATTAATTAAATATTAAATAGGCATTTTTCTTTACATTCACATATACCAAATTTGATTGATGATGTTATATCATCCTGCTTCTAAAATATGTTCTGGAGTAATCTATTTAATTGTGATTATTTGAATATTGATGCACTTTAAATATTAAAATGATATAATATATTAAAAACATATATTTAAAGTAAATATATAAGTCAATCTAACAAAAAAAGTAAATATTTCCAAGATAATTATTTTGACATTTGGTTTTGTGCAATGACAATACAAAAGCCAGTTATATAACATAATTGTATTTTTTGAAATACTAATTTAATCTTTGGTTGTCTTCACAGTTAATATTTTTCTCACACAGAAAATCAAAAAGTATGAAAGCACCTGAACCAGGGTTATTATTGTTAAAACCAAAACTAAAACCATAAAAAATGTAATTCCTTGAAATAAAATAAACATAATCTAATTTGAAATATTAACAAAAACGATAATCGTACATTATATAAATTATAATAAAATAACACTGCTCTGAACAAGAATTCTGTCTGTTCCAGCAAAGCACAAACTTAGACAAAACAGTAGACAAAACTTTAACGGTTGACTAAAGTGTCTCATATTACTGTAAATCCACAACAGTGGGGATTCCCGCTATACATGTGTGTAAATACTACAAAGGTGCTTGCTGGAGCACATCCTGGACTTGTTGCTAATTTCCGGCTCAACCTGTTTGACCTGATCTACTACTAGCCATGTTTACCCAGGCCTGTAAAGGAGAAACAATAAGCAGCCACAAAATAGAAACAGCATTAAAATGTCTGCTGATCCTGCATTCATATTTCCAGAAGCACATTTGTGTTCAGCTCAGAGCTAATTACTTCAGTCCAGACAGTCATGTTGAATCAATTATGAATGGTATCTTTAATTTCAGTGATATAAGCATTTACTGGTTCGTGTTACATAGCAGCTGATCACATGTTGCTGTATTCATTATGCTCCAGCCAAAAAAATATTTAAAGCATTGGATCAGACATAGGGTGCTACAGGAACACATTATGACAAAGTTTACACTACATAACCTCATGTCATTCACTGAGATGTAAATGACACAAACCTGCCCATGAAATCATCAGCAGAAAGGCTGCCACAAACCTGTGGTTGTTTTATATGGGTTGCATCAGCTGAAGCATGTCGTGCATGTTAACAATGCAGAAATGTTTGTACTTTGTATTTATTCTCTGACCTAATTACTGACTTAAACTTTGCGTTCATGAAAAATATATTTTATACACACTTTTCAAAAGTCTCTTATGTTCACCAAGGGATTTGCATTTACGCCACTGCATTTATTTGATCGAAAACAAATAAAAACTGTAATATTGTGAAATATTATCATTATGATTTAAAGTAACTGGTTTCTATTTAAACATAATCCAAAAAAGTAATTTATTTTGATCCTTCAGAAATCATTCTAATATGCTGGTATGGTGCTCAAGAATAATTTCTTATTATCAATGTTGAAAACAGTTGTGCTGCTTATATTTAATATAATAATATGTTTTAATAATTTTATAAAATATTATTTTTGTGGAAACCTTTATATATTTTTTCTGTATTCTATAGCAAGTTTAAAACACAGCATATGTGACCCTAGACCACAAAACCAGTCATAAGGGTCAATTTTTTTAAATTGAGATTTATACTTCATCTGAAAGCTGAATAAATAAGCTTTCCATTGATGTATGGTTTATAGGACAATATTTGGCCGAGATACAACTATTTGAAAATCTGGAATCTGAGAGTGCAAAAAAAATTGCCAATAAAGTTGTCCAAATTAAGTCCCTAGCAATGCATATTACTAATCAAAAATTTACTTTTGATATATTTACGGTAGGAAATTTACAAAATATCTTCATGGAACATGATATTTACTTAATATAATAATTTTTGGCATAAAAGAAAATCGATAATTTTGACCCATACTATGTGTTGTTGGCTATTGCTACAAATATACCCATGCTACTTTATATAGGCTATATATATATATATATATATATATATATATATAAACTATGATGTGTTTTTTTTTTATTTAAATTGTTTTATTTCTTTCATTTAAACCCTTATCTCTTTTTTGAATAGAAAATTATGCTGTTATTAAATGCCACTTGTTTTAATATTTTATTATAAATTACATTCATACATTCTTACATGTGACTTAAGTGCTTGAATGCTTTTTAGGACCATGTGCAAGTTGTATTAAGGAGGTGTAAAATGCAGAGATCTGGACCTCATAATGTTTATGACAGCTATATAAGTCCTTTTTTTTTTCATTTACCAGACACTTTTATTAAAACGATATAAAAATGAGGAGTACAAGCAATTATCATGATGAGACAATAATGTGTGAATTGTCCAGGATAGTACAAGCTAATAAAGGAAGGATATTAAGGATATTAATTTATCTTATTAATTCCTTTATCGCCACATTATCCATGCAGGATACAAATCCTGCTTTCACACAACCAATTAGATAATATAAAACATGTACCAAATCTAGAGGATTTTGTCTTCATATCTGTCTTGCTCCAGACTACAGACGGTGTTCAGGACAGTGACAGTCTTTTGGGGCTGAGGCTGTTGTGGCAGCTGTGATGTGGCGGTGTCACCTGACCGGGTCCGGCTGGTAACTATAGTGCTGTATGTCACCGTTATCTGACCAGGCTGTCTGGACCAGCCCTGACAGACACCTCAGCTTACCTCACGCGCTGAACGTCTCCACCGCAGTCTCCAGCTCTGCTTCTGATCCCTCCGCGGATGGTCTGTGCTCACGATAACAACAACGACAACAGTGTCCATATCAGTGTTCATACATGCAGACAAACACGTACTTCCTACAAACTAAAGTGGAGGCGCACACAAGGAGCTCACACGCAATGATTCGCTCATGTATATGAACACAGGAATGCATTTGTAAAACTATGTTTGACATTCTAGGGCAAATGTTAGACTGACAAACGTGAGAGTGTGTGAGCAGGTTCAGAGAGCCACAGATGATAATGCAATAGATTACAAACACCAGTATCTATACTGTGACCTACATTTCCTCATACTTTTTGATACTGGATAGTACATTGTATAAAAAGCCACTACTACTATGTTTTACTATGTAAAAAAAAAAAAAGTATATATATATATATATATTATTTTTAGTACTATCTACTACATGTAATTTATGTTTAATTAATACTTTTTATATAGCAAGGATGCATTAAATTAATCAAAAGTTAAACAGTAAATTGTTAAAAAGTTATTTCAAATAAATCTTTTGAACTTTCTATTCATCGAAGACTCCTGGAAAAAGATTCCACAACAATATTAGGCAGTACAATGTTTCTCGAGTAGGAAATCAGCATATTAGAATAATTTCTGAAGGATCATTTTGACACTGACTAGAGTATGGCTGCTGAAAATTCAGCTTTATCACATGAATAAATTACATTCTAAAGAAAAACGTAGAAATAGTAACAGTTATTTTAAATTGTAATAATATTTCCATAATATTACTGTTTTGCTGTTTGTTTTATCGACTCAACGTAGGCTTGGTGACTTCTTCAAAAACATTAAAACATCTTTCCATCCCCAAACCTTTGAACGGTGGTGTATAAAAAAATCAACATTATAATGTTCCCACAACCAAAATGTAATTTGGAAAATGTTTCAACATACATTTGCTGTCTGGTGGTTTTTCTGGTTGAACACTACAGTTTGAGGTTGAAACAAACTACAGTTGTTCTCACCCTTACAAAGTTTTAAGCACATGGTCTGTATTGTAATTGACTTGATTTCTCTCACTTGCTTTATTTCCCATGTTTGCAGTGTAATTTCTCATTGTTTAAATCACAATTATAAGCCAGTTGTCGAGCTACATTTGCAAACTATTACAATTCGACTAACACTTTAATTGCTACCAGCTAAAGCTCATACAGTGAAATGTTCCCAGGCCTATAAAGTTTTGACTTTTAAACTAAACTTTTGTAATATCACACTTACAAGATACCATATTTTTACTATTTGATTAGATACTTAATTTTTTATTGTATTAATCTACTATGAAACCAAAGTCTGTTTTTTAAAGGGGTCATATGATGTTGTTGCTAAAAAGAACATTATTTTGTGTATTTGGTGTAATGAAATGTGTTTATGCGGTTTAAGGTTCAAAAAACACATTATTTTCCACATACTGTACATTATTGTTTCTCCTCTATGCCCCGCCTTTCTGAAACGCATCGATTTTTACAAAGCTCATTGGTCTGAAAAAGCGAGGTGTGCTCTGATTGGCCAGCTATCCAAAACTTTTATAAAGAATATCTCTTTGGATTTGAGACTTTAGTCTTTGCAACTTTACAGATCTTCTTTATGCACCAAGAGCTTGTAACACTCCAAAGAGAAAGGAAAAATTTAAATCGCATCATATGACCCCTTTTAAGGCCTGGTTGTTTCTGGGGAGAGCTTTGATTTACACGTTTTCACGTGTTTGGTGTATCTTTAACGGCTGGTTTGTCTGTCTATCTCATACAATATGCTCGTGGAGGATGGCTCTGGTTTTAAACAGGATCACAGCAGGCGTCACAAGAGACCGCTTATCGGACTCAGCTATCATGATGAAGTAAGAAAAGTAAAAAGAGAGGGATCTTAGCGTACCTACTGAAAGGAAAGGTGGAGGGCTGGTGTCAATTCAAGCCTTTTCTCCTGCACGACACGTTAAGTGTCTTTAATACCAGTGAAACGATACCGAGGCAACACTTTGGCCGTTTTTAGCAGCGTGAA